AAGTATGCATCGGTGACTCTAAACTTTAGCACTCCAAACGGAAACTACCTTACGAACGAACAAATGACCTTGACAGGGACAACTTTAACCAATCAGAAGGCTTAAAATGAACGGCGCATAATTTTAATAAATCGTTTATATACAAGTAAAGTAATGTTAAAAAATGGTTACAAAAGATAGCGTTCTCGTATATGTTGCAAATAAACGTCCCAATTTGACGTAAGAGTCTTTAAAGTCATGTTAAACCAAGTCCCATACATAAACTCGTCGAGATAACTGTAAATCATTAGATTTCTTGATCCGTTCACCGATCTTATCCGTTTTTTGAGATAACTCCAGAAACTTTCAGTGGAATTAATATCAGTTCCATTGAAAGGATTTATGAATCCGGTTGTATGGTTGACAACTTCATGAATATAGCCGAGATTTGATAATTGACTGTAACTACTCCACTCATCCGCATGTATTGTTGTTCCCGGCAGCACTAAACGTTGGATAATGGGCAACAATACATTCGCACTGCGATTAGGAATCGCTCCTATATATCCTTTGTGTAGGGTGGTGTCATATATGCCCAACATCCATTGTTGATTTGAAGTCATTCTCCCTCTATTATATTTCCTTTTTATTGACACCGTCTCATCCACATGAACAGTAACACCAACTCCGCTGAGTACTTGGGTCAATCTGTTCATTTTCCACGACACGTCTCTGCAGTAATGGTACCACTGTACTGCAGAAACTTCTGACATTCCAGTCTCATATGCCGTTGCTGTTACTGGTCTTCTTAGAACCCAGTTGTGATACATCATCAGTATCTTCGTTAGAGGTAAGTGAGATTCCGAGAAAAATGTATCTAAGGAATCTATAAACTAAAAAATAACGACATACCCTCTCGGACCGATTTTCTGCATCTGCACTCCCTGCAACGGTAAACATAACCGTCGATGCATCTCGTGTATCTTTGTATATGCATTACACCTCCGCACTGGCAAGTTTTCGATCTCTCTATCAGCCCGTTCTCTAAACAGTAATCAAAAACAAACTCTGGAGCGAATTTGCACCGCAAACGATGTACAGCATCCATTGCGAGTCAGATGATTGCATGCTCAAGGTCTTCATCCGTTCTCAAGGTTGTTTTGGGCTACTAAAGTTTAGAGTCACCCATGCATCTGCAGATGCTGTTGGCTACAAAAGTAGCAACACCAACACCTCGCCTTTTCCTTGAACTGCTTTGGTCTTGTCTGTGCATGGTGAAACCATTTAGGGAGATTAAATTGTGATCACATGAATTGTGGAGCTCAGTTACATGAAGCGTTACTACACCTGTATTACGATAAATGTTTGAACCTAACAGAGTATCCTAATAATTAATCTTGTTCGATAGTGACCTGCAATTCGTGGTCATAATAACAGAAACAGTCATCTGTTGCATCGGAGTACACTTCAAGGCTCGTTGCCACCCATCATGATACTTTCTCCTGAGTTTACAAAGATACAAATAAATCAGCCCGTCGAAAACATTTTAAATAATCGCGAATGTAAATAAAACGATTTGAGCACATGATTGAATAATTAAAACAAAAGAAATCCGAATAATCAGGTGCAGTAAAAATGATGGAGAATTTCGGTAACCCAAGGTTTAAACAGGCCGCCACAATATAATTCATCTATTAAGATGGTCAGGTCGTGTGACATACACACTTAGCAGCTATTTTCTACTAAGAGGAATGTGAACCAAAAGAATTTTGTAACAGATTTACGGGGTGGCAGTGATACATGCAGACTCTGAATGTTTGAGCCACATATGGAGATTTTATATTGTCTAGGTGGGTTTCTAGGAATAGTGACAATCAATTATTAGAAATGTCCTTCGATCTACTTACTCAAACATTATCCATATGGACTGTTTAGGTAATAGAATTATTGGTACTATAACGCCTAGTTTAATACCTCCAGTTTGGCGAAATCTGTTCGTATTGGCTATCATGTGTATGCATCATACAGTCTTTACCCGATTAAATTCTTGTCTGACATACCGTCCCTCTCTTTGATTAGTCCCTTCGTTTTACACTTCTCTATACGTGAGTTCATTGTAATTTTCTCTACAAAAGTCGTTTTAGAAACCGGGTGAAAATGACTACCTCTAGTCAGTAGATGCCTATTTTATTGTGCTGTTCTAAAACGCATTATTTTAAAATCCACCTCGCTATAAATGTGGGCGGGTTATTCCACAGTGCTGTCAACACAAACAGTCTTGTTGACACAATGCCTATTGCTGCCGGCGGCCCGGATGAGTTGGATCAGTTCCCGATTATTGCAGGATGCAGCTGCCGACTGCATCTAACATGCATGATTTGACGACCGACCTTCGCCGACATTAAGTAGGCACTGTGTTGACTTGATTTGTGTGCATGTCGGTATAGTCGTTGTCTGCCAGAGTGGATTGACTTGCCCTCAGCTTAGCTCATTATGGCACTGCGCAGACGCAGCAAATGCTGCTAGTTTACTTGTAGCCACCTTCTGAGGACGGCTTCTGTATTCATCCTCATAACGTAAGATGAGCGTAGCTGACACTGTGGCGTGATAAGGATTCAAACTTGTGCTCAGAACGGGCAACGGTGCTGTATGCATCAAGGCTATCAGAAACAATTACCAGTGTGATTGATTTGAGTAGAGGCTTGATTGGGAGATGGAAGGTGCCAGGTAACGCTACGCTGATGGCCGTGCTTGACAGCGGTGCTTGGAAGAAATGGGTCTTGACCCATATAAAGGTGCACTGGATGGTTCCGATTGTCTAACTCGCGAACACATAAATCCTGCCGACAACTAAAAGTGCCCTGAGCCAAGACGCCCAACTTCCCCATCTAAGTACTCACATAACGTTACGATATCTTTTTGCGACGTCTGCTTCAAAAGTCCATTCATCTGATTCCAAAACTTCCTTATTCTCGTTCGGACTGCAACTTATCGACTCACAAGCAGACATGACAAACAGATACCGCTCCTCTGGTCGACTGCCTTTAACACTGATTTAACGTCGCTTCACAGAAAGTAAACGACTATTGATTGGGATCCAGTGCAGCAACGGAGCTTTGGATCTAGCGCTTAGAACTACACTGACACAAATTAACAGTATCCTGGCGCCGCAGGAACACTCGATAAGTGCAGGTGATGCGTCAATTTGAAACTGCAGATGAAAATGAAGCATGTAATGGGGTCTTTAGTGCTCTGAAGTGCAGCGAACATCGATAGAGAGAACTTCCAATGTCCTGGCTAGACGCACATGTCGTCTGATTGTTTATTAGATATATCACACGTGAAACAGTATTATTTACTGGATGACGTTTCGAACAAAATTTATTGTTCATAATCATATCAATTCAATTGAGTGTAAGTGGCTATTTAGAGCGAAACATATAGTTTCGTGATGGCTCTATCAGGTAACGATCTGAAGGCAACAAGGTAGCAACTCTGAACGGTACAGATGCATTGGGATTTGGAATGGAAGTGGGGAACTGACGAGACTGAAGACAACGGAGTTAGCGGAGGTTCTCAGAAATAAAACAAGGAGGTTTACAGATAGAAAGAGTACCTGGAAAATTAAACTGCAGTAAATACGATTAGGAGGGAAGGTTGACTGTTGTTTCACCATCTTTGTGAGGGCTGAGCTGCACCCATAACTGTAATTGACCTATAAAGGTTCCTTTGCATTTTTTTTGGATTCTGGAGCCCATGTTCAGCCTTAGTGTGGTATCAGGGTTTTCCAGCTCCCTTAATTAGGCACACAGGCATGCCCACCAGTAATCTCGTTGTCAGTACCAGATGTTTTCATTCTCCCTTTTGTTTTTGTGGGAACAACTAGTTAAATAAACTGAATGGAGACCGTCAATTACGGTTTTTCAGTTTCATTAAGTAACTGCTTTTATTTGATTCTGTATAACGCGACTAAAGGAATACTGTAATCATATCAAATGCTAAGTTTGGCTATTTTGCAAGTGTTTTGTTGATACATTTTACATGGCTAAAATATATCTTCAGGCGTTTGCTATACGATGCGTGGAAACACTTCGTGGTTACTTTTATCCTCACCCATTTTCAGAAGTTTAGCGATTCAAATCATTGCACTTTTGTGAGAGTTTCAGGGTCGACAGGTTGGTCAGTCAGTTGCCTGGTGTCAAACTTTGGTATCTGCATTCGTCTAATCGCTTCATGAACTATTCGGTTGGCGGTGCGTTTACTACTTCTAGGAGTCAGTTCCGACTCTACTCTCTGGTCACATAATTCCTTCTTCCATTCTAATATGCCATCTGAGAAGTTCTAACTTCATGGAAAGGAAAGGGGTAGACAAAGTAGCTGAATAGTCACTTCTCAGAATTTCGAAAATCCCTACGTCTATGGCACTCTAAGGAGAAAGCTTTCAGATGTCGGTTCTTTCCTTGTATGATACATTGACCATACAAGGAATCATAAGTATATGGCTTACGATGAACTCTTTCTAGAGCCTACAGATCCTCTTTAGAAGATGGCTGGTTGCCTTGATACACTTTTTAATTTTGAAAGTTTCACTGGCGATTCTAGTAAAGGCCCCATAAAGCTGTAAAGGTATGAGCTGCCATTATGTGACAGTGTGCTGTACGTTTGACCCCATGGTTTGTTATAAATACGTCTATTCCATAGAACGGATTTGTGAAATGTAAGGCGAAACAGATACGAAATCATCATTTAGGCAAGTTTGAAACTGCAGTCTTATGCACCTACACACCGTCATACAAGGACCAGCTGAAACTATCAGAAGACAATTCTTTGGTACTTTCAAAGAAGATGAGCTTCAGGGACATTATCCTTCAAGGATATAACTCAACAGTTAAAACAGGTTGAAAATGAATAAATTTAACGCACTATACTCCATAGTCTAACGAGTTAAACAAGCCTGTCGAAATGGTGAAACCAAAAAGACCTTTCGTAAGTTAATTTAAATAAATTTACTATATTTTTATTTATTTTAAAATATTACTTATTTCTAAAAAAGTAGCAGGAAAAGATAACAATAAAGAAATTTTTAGGCGTAGTCCTGTTGAATTTCCATCTAAAAAGTAACAACAGTTGGAAATGTTTGTTAGATTACTGGTTAAATGAATGATTTCTAGCACAAGTGCCTATTGAAATAATAATAATAGCGAAGAAGTATAGCTCTGTTAGATGATGGTTGTGTTCTCTGAACAGCCATGTAATCGTTTAGTTATAAAACATTCACTACCATTCTGGACTACATCTCCCGAAGGGATTTCACTGTTAAGTGAACTAGTCGCAATTCTCCATGAATGATACATTTGTCTCTTTTTGGACGACTTAGGTTATGATCAGTTGTTAATTTGCCTTAGTACAGACCATTTTCATTGACCTTTCTGTCACGTAGCTTAATGTCTTTGATGTCAGTTGATAAACTTCATTTAGGATTTGTCTTCTGACTGCAGATCCGTTTGAGTATCAGGCTTCTACAAATTGCCTGACTTGTTTGGTGTTTTTACTTTTAATAATTTCTACATTTCTTCAGTCAAATTGGTGTTTATAGTTGTTTACATGAGTGGACAATAAAGCATACATATAGTTTCTTTTGACTCGGAGTTGAGAACACAACCAAATCAAGCAAAAACTGTATTTAAAGTGGCATTCCTATCTGATATCTTTGTGTAATTGATTGAAAACTGTTTTATTCGTAGGGGCGAATGACTGACTTGGTGACCCTTAAGCGGTAAATCAGAGTTTTATTTACACTGCTGCAAACAGTTTATTCAATCATATAACGCGTTTGCTTAGTTTTATTTGGCTTTAATCTAATTTGTTGCCTCAAGATCATCGGGTTGGTCATTCACTTGGATCGTCACACTTTAATTTCGTCTGCGAGTTATGATCTGCAGTTAGACTTAGTATATAAGAAAGTTGGAGATAAATTTGTCTCCCTTACGATTCTGTCTCACTGACGTGTTAGGAAAAAGGCTATTAGTTACAATTTTGAGTTTCTTTAGGTAGTTAGTTGTCGTTTTGTGTATGTATGTGTGCGATTAAACGAATACTGTAACCACCGTTGGTATTATAATGTTTGTCTGTTTTAGAGGCGTTTTTGTCGACCTTCGACACAGCTGAAATACCTATCGCCCCGTTCGCTGTAATTTGCGTAAAGTCGCCTTGAAGTTACTCGTATCCTCACGCGTCAACAACAGTGACTGCCGTATTCTTTAATGTGAGGTCAACCGTAAGCCTCACATTCTCATATAGAAGCTCTATGATAACATCTCCAGGAGGACGACAGAGGCTAGTTCGTCGGTAGTAATATTTCCTGCATTTCTGGTACTGGCGTTGCGTCATTCCTACTGCACATGTTCTGTGTTTTGCTTTGATGAACAGTGATCCAGTGAAAAATTTCTCCCTCCTCCAATCTAACTATATTACTTTCAAGAATTACAGTTCTGTTTCACATCCTACTGCATGACTGTATGCTGGTGTTTGAATAGCAGTATTTTCGAAGTTGATTATCTCCCTAAGCTCAATCATTCTACACCTAGCTGAATTATTGTGTTCAGATAATGTGACTGAACATGATCAACTGAAGTGACACCTATACAATTAACATCGCAGTCATTCCCAAGCATTTTACAATTTAAGCTTTTGTCTCTCACTGACGGAATAAATTCCTTAGCCCGTAAAGTTTGGTTTAAATGCCACTCAAACGTTCGGTTCCAAATATTCCTGCCTTGTGATAATGGAAACAGTGCATGCGCATGGCTTGAATTCCTTAATGATGTTATGATCACCAGTTTCACTACTACTACTACTACTACTACTACTACTACTACTACTACTACTACTACTACTACTACTACTACTACTACTACTACTACTACTACTACTACTACTTCTACTACTACTACTACTACTACTACTACTACTACCCCTTCTTTTGATGAAGTTTTCAAAACTCCTCAATGGATTCTATGGGACTGCTGCTTAGTAACAATGTTTCTTTCATAGTGCATACTCCATGGCACCAAAATGCATTGACAGCTAAAGTAAACAGATCAAACTGATTTAATTAAAATATACATCTAGCTCAACTGGGAACGCTTAAGTGTTTTAAGTTTTCTTTTTTTTAGCGAGTACACTTTTAATCAGGCTGAAACGCAATTTTCGCGCTTCTGCTTTGTCCTGGTAACACTCACATCGCTGTAAGTCAGGAATTCAGCTATGCTACCCAGATATGTTGACATAATCTTCTCATGCAAATAATACTAACATTTTATTCCATTTAAGTATTTTGTTCATCTCAGCATATATCTCGATAACTGAACCATTGCGATTCTCTTTTTTTTCCTCTCAGTACTTTTAAGTTAGTTAGTGTACTTATTAAGTGGATGTTTGAACTCGCTGTTTTTAGCAAGGCTAGTACTGCGTAACTGGTTGACAACTTAGCCAGTCACTTACAATTCTGCCCCACAGAATTCCCTAAGAAATTCGATAAATCTCTTTAAAAATATGAGAAACAGTAGGGTAATTACTGATCACAACACGAATAAGAAGGGGTTCAAGGCGAGAGCGTACACATAGTGTCGACATTATTAATAAGAAAAGGAACATTTGAAACTCTTAGCTCAACCAGTCGTTTCATTTAGTAGTTGTTCTGTGATTACTTATGTTCATTCATCTAATTATCATAAGTTTGTTGTCCAGTGTTGTATTTCGCAGAGAATAGCAGGAAAAGTACGGCGGATCGATTTTTAAAAAAGCTCAAATGCACCCTACGATCAGTAACTTTTGAAGATTGCACCAGTCACATTGACTATTTTATATATATGATGCTTGGTTAAGTATGGACTTACCAACCGAACACCATTTTACTTCCTGTTATTGAAAATTGAAAAAAGAAAGTATTTGAATTTGGATTCATGATATAAAAGACTTTAAACCATTTAGACTCATAGAAAATTTCAAAATGTCGGGGTATTCATAAGGGCTTAGAGAAAAATATTATCTAGAATACAATTCATTGTGAAGTTTCCAATTTAGTATATATATATAAACATATATATACAAACCTTAGAAACTGTAATTCTATACTGACTTGTTTATGGGATATATCACACACAGTGAAACAGTATTATTAGTATTATCATAATGTCGACGTTTCGAACGCAATTCATTACTGCTGTTCAGGCAAGAATTGACTAACCTTTTTTCATCTAGTAAATAAACAATCTCCTCCATCCATCCTTATATACCTTCAAGTTCTACTTTTATGATTTCTATTATATTTATGGTCCTGTTGCTTCTTCGTTTTTACTTTCATACTGCAAACACCAACTTATCTCTATAACTGCTGTATTCTTTGTTTTTCCCCTCACCATATCATGTAAAGAGAACATTATATTCAATATTTTTAATCATGCAAGGATTTGTATACCGCATCGACAATACTGTGTGAAACAAGCCCACGGCAATTTCAACTTGTATTATTATCATTACTTTAGCTGCTATCATTATTATTATTATTATTTCCATTTTATATGCTGCATGTTTTTTTGACATTACCCCTAGTAAAATTTTCTGTGTGATTAATTTTATTTAAAGTTTGAGGAAATTAGATGCAATATTGTGATTAATGCTGAAAATTCCATTCTGTATCGCAAGTACTGTTATTGGAATAAAGTAAATTATTATTATTATTATTATCCCACCAGTTGTAAATATACAAAATTTCAAGACTGTATTTCCTATAGTGTTCGTTCTCCCCTCCCATTTGTCCTAAGGGTAAACAATTTTCCAGATGTCTGGCAGAAGTAATGAGTCATTCCTATCCGGTAAATGAAGCTTCAATTACCAGTCTACGATTCCACCTGGTTATATTGGAATTTATGACCGTCAATTTGTCCACTTCTATTGTATATAGTGGCACAGGCAGCGCTATAGTTTGAATTCTTCTCAACTTCTTATACTATTAATATCTACTAGTTGAGATTTCTCTAGGTTTTTATCCTGTGCTTAATTAAGTATCCTGGGCCTGGTATTCTGACCTATGCACGTGATCTCGCACTCATTTTTAGGTATTATAAGTCTGATTTCCCACAAACTGGTAGATATGCAAGCGAAAAGCAACAAGTTGGCAGAAGAAGCATCAAAGATAGGACTTCAAGTGAACATAGAGAAAACAGAGGTAATGAAGATTCCTAGACAAGAACAACAACAACGGACAACGATCAGCATAAATGGGGGGGGGAACCTGAAAGAAACAACCTCCTTTATCTACCAACCTGAGAAGCATCATTTCAACTACAAGTGGAACTGACGAGGATATCAAAGCAAGAATAGGAAAAGCAAGACAAGCTTTCACTACTCTCAAGTCTGTGTGGAGGTCAACAGCACTCAGCATGAAAATGGAAATAAGATCCGGATTTTCAACTCCAATGTGAAGTCAGTCAGTGCTACTTAACATACGGATCAGAGACTTGCACTGTGAGTCATAAAGAGCATCTCAAACAAACTACAGACCTTCATTAACAGTTGTCTTCGCTCAATACTCAAGATAAGATGGCCAGAAAAGATCAGCAACAGGGTGGGATCTCTGGCAATGAGCGAACCAACCCAGCAGGAACCGAATGTAAAACAAATAGGCAGGAGGAAATGGAGATGGATTGGCCACACTCTGAGGAAACCAGCAAGTGACATCACACGCCAGGCCATCGCTCGAGTGGAACCCGAAAGGAAAGCTGCGAGTTGGTCGTCAGTGCAAGGGTGACTTGGAGGAGGTCACGTGAAGAGGAGTTGAAAACGTGTGGGCAGACTTGGAGCCAGGTGAAGACTCTAGCAGAGAACCGAACGCAATGGAGACGCGTGGCTGAAGCCCTATGTTCCTCTAGGAGTAAAAGGAAACAATAATATTAGTAGATCACCTAAATTATTTCGTTTAATTAGCTGTACAGAATCCTTTAAACATTATAATTTATTTCCAGGTGATTTTTATGAGTGATTGGATTCAACTTTTATCCTTGCCTTGCTGCGAATCCGGAGCAAAGTTTTTGAGATGGCTTGTTTTTTATGAGTGAACTGCGGCGAACACCTTAAATTCTCCAGCTTTGGTTATGTCATCTTCATGTATTGATTTTAGTATTGATTTTCTTACTAATTTTTCGTTTCGTTTTTATTCCTGTCATCACCTTAATTACACATTTGGACTTGGCATTTAGTTTGTAAATGCTGATATGTAGTTAACCACATCATTGGATGATAAATTTTGTTTGAAACTCTGTCATATTTGGAGTGACAAACTGACTACCAGAGAGTCCAAGTTTTGCACAGACGTTAGTCTTTCAGAATGCTGTGCACACCTCAGCACACCTCATTGTGCATTTATAAATTTAAATGTTCTTCTAGAGACAGTTACATGGGCAGAACGATTCGGGAAGCCAACTGTCCAATGTGATCAGCTAAAGAAGTCATAAAGTCAATCAGGGGTTCCATATTAGTACACTTTGTGAATACAGATCCCTAGATTGTTAAAAATTCAGCCGTTAGAATTCCATACAAGGTGTCACCTTAATTCCCTAATTTTGCACCTTCGATTACTAAGCATAGCTGAGACAGTTGCCATAAAAATAAGTTCAGCCCACTGTTTGTGTTCAGAGGAATATTGTTATAATCCCTCTCCCTCCTGTTGCCTCCAACTCGGACTTAGAATACTTATCATAGTGACACCGGATAACTATAATTTCATTATCAGTATCATATTGTGTAACAGTTACACACTTTAATTTTAGTTCCACAATTTATTATTACTATTATTCTACTTACATTCTCCCTAATTATATTTGATTCTATTGATCTACATTGTTTCAAATGTCTATGACTGATGTTTTATTGTGTAATTGTGAAGCCTGATGAGGATTTGCCAGAAATACACATTTGCTCGCTTAAATCGTGTTTCAAAATTATCCTAATGGGAATATTTTTAATATATTTATGCGTTGAAGTTTCTGTAGTAATTCGGTTAAGTTTTGGGGGTGGAGTTGCTAGCACCACACCCCAACACTGACTCTTTATCCGGGCTTGGGACCGGCTAGAAAACTAGAGAGCTAGTAATCTAGGCGGGGATGTCAAATCGAGAATCGGGAAGGCGAGAAACACATTCATCAACCTGAAACCAATCTGGAAATCTTCGTCACTCAGCCTGCATCAACAACAAAATTCGGATTTTCAATACAAACGTCAAGTCATTCAGTTCTTCTATACTGATCAGAAACGTGGCCAGTGTGTCACAAAGAATATTTCCAACAGCCTGTTGCAGACCTTTATCAACAATAGCTGTCTTCGCTCTATACTGAAGATCATATGGCCAGAAAGAACAAGAACCAACAAGAAACTATGGGAACAAACAAAACAAGAACCGATCGCCAAACCAACCAAATATGCAGGAGAAAGTGGAGATGGATTGGACATTCGCTGAGAAGGCCGCCGGGTGACATTGCGCGTCAGGCCATCGCTCGAGTGGAACCCGAAAGGGAAGCGGTGAGTGGGACGTCCAAGTGTGGGTGACATGGAGGAGATCGTATGAAAAAGAGTTGAAACAGTACTGACTAACATGGATGCAGGTGAAAAGTACATCAGAAGACAGAAGCAAGTGGAGATGTGTAGTTGAAGCCTTATGTTCCACTAGGAACCCAAGGGAACAATAATAATAATAATAAAGGGAATATTTAAATTATGTATTACTTAGATATTCGTGTAATAAAATAGACAGAAAGGCTGTGTGTGTAGGCACTCACTTTTTGTGGTCTGAATCCGAGCTCCTAATTTTAAATTTGTAGAAATAATTGTCATTCAGATTGTGGAAATTAAAGATTAAACGGAATATAGTGATATTGTGTCGTTTTTATCAACCACAGAGAAACGTTACATATTGTAATGTTATCTGTACAAAACTAGACAGTTAAAGTAAACTACAGTAGTCATCACCACCGCGAGCAAACCATGAACGCCAGTATATACGTGACATTCGTATCGTTTGATTGTTTCACTTCTCTGTAATTTACAGAAGATTCTTGTGATACTCACTTTTTCTTAGTGGATGACATAGTTTAGTCTCGCAGATACTGGCACGGAAAGGTGACAATGTCAAGTTCCCAGAAGTTATTTGGTTATCACATTGACTGGTTCTCCTGTTGCGCTCGTTGGCTAACGGATAAAACTAAGTTATTTTTGACGTTTTGCATGTTATAATCTGGCCAGATCAATTTCTTTTCTACAAGCATTATCTTTAGCGAATCCGCCCATCTGTCCGTAACGGTCTGAGAATAAAAGTTAACCAATAAGCATCAAGGTGGCAGATCTGGCGCTAAGACAACTGAACTCTAGCTGTAGTCACTTTTTATTTAAATTGATTTGTTCAATATATTTTTGTTACTATACAGTTAAACAAATATATCCCCGAAAAATAATGACTTTAACTTTCAAGGAATATTCACTAGGTGAAAGTGAATAATACTCGTATATTCAACAGACAACAATTGTCATAGAAATAAGATTAGCTGGATGAAGTTGAAGAATATTGATCCAGGAGGAGGATAACGGCACGAATGACTTCCAGTCGACCATTCAGCTTCCACTTAACTGATGCATCATTTTGATAGGCATAGGAATGAATGAATAAATGGAAGGACATGCGGAATAGATTTCATCCGAGAAAAGTACCTAACTCTTCCTAACTCAAACATATAACACTAAATAATAGACATTTGGATGTAACAGGCAATTACATGCTGCAAGAACAATATCCTGTTTAATATTTTCTTTTCAACTTAAATCCAAATGTCTTTGATAGATTTTTACACTTTTGTTTTACTCAAATTGGTTAACGTTTCTCCCACTGGTCGATTGGTGGTCATTCCTCCGTTCATTCAACTGAATGACTATAATTCGACTTCTCCATTTCTTAATCCTTTTTTTCCTTCGCGTTTCCCAGTGGAACATAAGACTTCAAGCTAGTGGTTTGAAGTTTCTGTAGCAGTGTGTTTATTTCACAGGATGGGGTTGCTAGCCTCATGCCCAACCTTTCCTCTTCATCAGCATTATTTCTGGCTCAGTGAGGTAAAGGAGTGCGTCGGTGGCCGGGGATCGAACCCCGGACCATGTGCATGGTCGGCGAGCGTCCTAACCGCTATACCACCAACGCACCGTTTCTTAGTCTTTAGTAGGGTTAATTTAGCTTTTGTGGTTATCTCACTTTCATGAAATCAGTTTGAAATGAATTATAATCTTGCTGCTTACGATGATGATCTTTAAAAGATACGAAAATAATCAAACAAAGGAAAAACAATTTGACCGAACACTTCAATAATAACAATCGGCCACCTGGTGAAATACGTAAGAGAAAATTATGATATTTGTAGAAATCTTATGATACGACTCGCATTTCCCAGTAGCCTTACTCTGGATACAGATACATTCCCATCTGATGAGTAGGAAATGGGATGAGCCGTGTATCTGGGATTCCATTTCTAGCTACCAACAACGAAGATGACAACATATATTCACATCTGGTTAAGTAAGTCAATCAGATCACAGGGGGGAGGGGGAGTCTAAAAGTGTTCCTTAATTTGAGTTTATGCAATACTTCAAACACGTTTACCTTCTAGATGGATGGAAAGCGGGGTGGAAATTATAAAATGATAAAATCTGAGGTAAGCAAACACATTTAAATCACTGAACCGCCCCCCCCCCCAAAAAAAATTCGCCAAACTATTATTATTATTATTATAAAAGAAGTTCAATGGTTAAAAGAAATGTAAAAGTGATAAAATGAATTTACTCACGATGAACTAGAGCTATTTATTTCAAATAAAGAGAATCAATGTTCAGCATACAAACATTTAAATCAAATAATCCTCATTGAAACATTAAAAAACAAAATAAAATCGTGTAGAATGTCCAGGAAAATTTCCCGGAAGGAGGTGCACTTGCTTTGCTTAGCGAAAGCCTTGGCAATAAATTCGATAAAGGCAGAAATTTTTGTTTACACTCTGCTGCTGTTTCATTGCCATGGTTTTAATTTTATCCTAGGATTCACAGAGTTTGTTTGTTTACTCTTCTGTAGTCAATATTATTCCAGTTTGTTTTGTTCTTTTTCGATCGGAGTCATCACGGCATGGCATTTTTTTATTTTATGGTATTGACTACACTTCAGTCGTCTAATTCTCGCTTATAAATTCATTTGAGCATGTTAAATTCATATTTTTTATGCACTCTCCAGTGAACTCAATCTTCCGATCATGTAATTACGCATGTTTATTGTCTGTTGTGTGTTGAAATATCGCTTATTCATTCGTATTTCTATTCACAACTTGTGATTTACAATCATCTGAAGCAATGCTATTGCGCTTTAGAACTCGCACTCACAGTCAATTTTTAAAAAAAGGGTATTTACTCTACATCATATATTAGTGAAATGAAAAGTATCTAAAGTAAAGCAATCTGCTTTTCAATTACTGCTTTGCAAGGATATGACTGATTGTGAAGTTGGGTGTTATTACGAAGCAATAAGGGTCAGAGAACCACTAGAAGCGCAGCTGTTTAGTCTCACTTTACAACTCTTCCGCGGTAGAAACCCATCAGCCAGGGATCAAACCCGAAACTTTGTGCTTACAAAATAAGTTAGTCGACCGTTCAATCACAAGGGTCGAAATTCCATGGCCCATGAATTCTAGCTTCTGACAACTTGCCATGTGCAACGCCACTACTACTCAGTATTATCTGCAAGTATTCGTCCACACAACCGAGTTGGTGAACAGTTGCAGGAGTTGGAATTCCTGGGGCATCGGATTCTGCTCCAGTGCCTGAGTGCTTAACCCACTCGTTTTGTAACTTGGAGGTTCCGGTTTCGAACTCTGACAGTATAGCGGATGAATACTCCTGAAGAGTCCAAAAGTAGGACGAAATAACCATCCAGTACTACCTGATTTTCAGTGTTTCTCTAACTGATGATACTTTAAATAATTTAGAACTATGTTGTTCGTTTGAAATCTGCAAGCATACATGAGAAATTGTAAGCATGCGTACGTGTTTCATGAAGATTAATAAGAGTAGAGATCTGAACTAAACGCTTCTATTGTGTCACTAGTCAAGAGACCATAATGTATATTCATTAAAAAGACTTCACTTTAACAGTTGGCCATTCACTCACTCAGTCAGTCAGTGGAACTTGTCAAAAAGGTGTGTCTGAAGCCCCAAAGGAATTGATGTCTGGTCTGCCTGAGAAGCTGGCTTACTGGCAACACTCCTGACTGCAGCCCTGAGTGACGTTGTGATTCAAATCTGTGAGAGGAGACATCAATCCCTCTAAGATGGCAGATATACCTTACTGACAAGCGTTAACCAGGACAAAGCCTAGATTCAGAGCTTCTTGTTGACTGCTTTCAATGATTTGAAATGAATTCAAAGGGCACCGTGATGCTAATTCATCTACCTTGGTGACCACATTACAGACTTCACTAGATAGTCAGTTCAGTTAACAAAAACACTAGCGGAGTAAACGCGTGACTTTGATTACCCTTTAGTCTTTTATGGGAAATATTCAGAAATAAAATAATCCTGAACTTACCGTTTCCCTGAACCTGATCTGTATTTGGGTGAGTTAGAAACAGGCAAAATATTAACGGCTTTTATTTATGAGATTATTCAAATTAGCGGTTAAACGGCTGTGAGGTACATTATCACAGAATATCAGGAAAAATAGAAATTATTGGAATTGTTCGAATATGTCAACGTCAATATGGTGAAAACTGACTCAGAATTTCTATTACCACACTGATGTCAACACGCAGAAGCAGCTTGTTGTGCTCATGTTCCACTGGGAACATCGGTGAGTGTAATTTACACTTCTGTTCGAGACAATCAATCCACAGGTATTCTTACTATGGGTACCTTACTATACAACCCAGTCGCTTAGCAGATATTAAACTTGCTCTCTGCTGTCTCATGCAAGCTGGAGCAGGCAGATTGCTCCCTACATTAATCACAAACAGTTCCATTGGCTTAGGATATATGAACAGTGGAGACATTCTAATGTATCTCTGCACACGGAATCCCATTGATAATCTACTGTTCATGCGCCTTACTTCACCGCAACAACCCTCGGTCCTATTAGGATCACAGAATCAGACACTCACTATTCGACGTTTAACACTGGTAACTATTCCAGGGCGCCATGGGTTCTCCTACCTCATACAAATTTAAATTAAGGCTAGATATCGAAAGTGTTAGGGTTCCACAAGGCGAATAGTATTTGTTGAGTTCATTCCCTCTTGTAGAACCATCCCCATCTGAAGATGTACTCATGTGTAACTGATGGTTATACACTTATTTCGCTAATGCTGACCCTTAATTTCAACAGAAAATGGTTGCCTAATGTTTTGAGGGAAAATTCAAGCCAATAATGTACTAGTGGCAATTAAATAATTTAGCCTAATCTTGAAATAACAGTATTTCGCTGTCTAAAATCGTCATAAAGCATTAGCTGTTGAGGCAGAAGATACTGATCTAATGTGGTTCTACAACCAGGCCCCTAGCCTTATGCAACCAGCCAAATTAATTATTTGGTAGTATATACATATACACACATATTTTTTGTCTGATAAAGATCAGACCAGTCTTGCCTTCTGGACTGAGTGCAGTAGACGGTATATGAGGGAGACAATGGTTATGTTCAGGATTCAGTAGAGTTACCCATTTGCAGATATAACAGTTTTGGCATCTTGTTATTGGTCATATCATATGCCCTATAAAAAAAACAAGCTTTTGCCTCTGACTGCTTACCCCTTTTTATGTTCTTTTTTGCTTAAATAAATAAATAATTAATTCAATTAAGTATTAATTAATCTAAAATCAATAGTTAATAGGTTGTTCATAAGAATAAATTTAATATAGTGGGATGAAAAATGACTGTGTAAATATAATGCCAAATCTGACCAGTATTACGTACACTTAGGTTAATAGATAATAATAAGAAAGGACATGAAATTGTTAAAGGTCTCATATAATTCTAATTTGCCTTTCTACATGTGCTATTGCATACTTAAATAAATGGATACTCAACTGATTAAAGATGCCAGCCAGAAGTTTTAAAAGACTGAGAGTAGTGAACAAAAAATATTCTGTTGAGAGACCTTCTTCATGAGGTTCTAAAGTTATATATATATATATATTAGTTATGCGACAGAAACAACGTATTTTCAAATAACATCGGAACACCAAAAGATGGTATCTGAGAACGGATTCTTACTTATCAAGTACAGTTCATAACACACTTTGATATGTGATAATATACGTAAGTGCAACACTAAATTCAGTTGGACATAAATAACAACTAATGAATGCTTATTTATGACTAACGCTCACATCGGACGTTTTTATTCATACTGGTTGTCTTTATTTTATTTTATTAAAGCTTGATTCCACACCTTATTTTGATACATGTATGGAATTTTCAGCATGTGATATTGGTAGCCCGAATTTGGCAGGTCAACCATTGATATCAGGTGTAAGTCGGCCGGGCATCGAACTCCAGACCATTTGCATAGTCGGCGAGCCTCCTAACTGCTGTGCCACGAACGCACTTCATACGGATGAACGATAATGTACCAAGCTAACAAGGAGAGAAAATCCTGTAGAAGGTTAAGTGTACAGTACCTAACCGCTTTAGGTAGTTTATTTAGTACAGGGTAGACCACAGAAAAAGATTCCTCTGTGCTGTTTTTGTGATGTGTTTGCACCAAGTGCATTATTGTCGAGACGTGAATGCTTTTTGTCACATATTCTCAGGTGTTTCCCAACACGAAAACTGAAATTTGCGGAGCAATAGCTGACACAACTGACTCCACCATAAAAACTCTAATCTGGGAACAGTCTATTCAGACATACCACCTTTTGAAATTATTATACAGAAGATGTGATACTATTCAAGACAAAACATGTTAATATTGCCAATAACAACGATCGTTCCCTTAACTATTATGGATAACTAAAAAACTGTAGAACCTGATAAAGAATACGAAGTTATCGAGACAGAATATTCTTTCTTCAGGAATCTCAGTCTTTTGAAATAACTGCTGAATAGTTTCCATATATATGTGATTGATTTTTATTAAAAAGTATAGTAAAATTTGAAAGCTTACTGTTCTTTGGAACCACTTGAAATTACAAGGAGAGAAAAGAAATTGATTAAATCATAATGTCATAAAGTATGATTCACAAAAGCGGAAATAAAAACCGAATCTCTGATCATGAATGAGATGGAATTACGATCGGATAAATAATTAACTCTTGTATCTCAGTCTATGATGAAATTCTAGTAACAGTTGGTTTTGCTATAAAGAAAGGATGACTAAATTTGCAGTATAAAATGATATCATTCTATTTCACAGGTTCTCCTCAGCTGCAGACTGGCTGAAATTACAGTGGTTATATATAGATGATAATAACATACTTTAATGTTTAAGTGGTAGTAGAGAAGAGATACTTTAAAATTGACGCATCCAAAATGAAAGCATTACAATTTTTTAGTTTAAGTTTTCGTGATAAATTTATACGCTTTCAAAGTTGAAAAGAAGGGGGAGGGGTAAGACAGAAAACAGAAGAAATTAATTAACAGAACAGTGTTAGCTTGTAGGTTCACATAGCAACTCAAAAAGCGAAAGCAGCTACAGTTTATGAGATTAAGATTTGTTCAGTGAGTTGAGATCACTGAATCAGATGATCAATTAATATAACCAAAATCAAAATTCAGTTACCAAGGCAGTGAGAGGTTAATCACACTCTCTTTCTGTATGCATAAGTGTGGTGTGATCGCTTCTGCAAATTTACTACGATTTGCCGATTTGATTACATTAATTAGTCATCTAATTCAATGATCTCAACTCACTGAACAAATCTTAATCTCATAAACTGTAACCGCCTTTGTTTTTTGGGTTGCTATGTGAACCTACAATCTAACAATGTTCTGTTAATTAATTTTTTCTGTTTTCCGTCTTACTCCACCCCCCTCTTTTCTACTTTGAAAGGGTATAAATTGATGGTGAAAACTTAAACTAAAAATTGTAATGCTTTCACTTTTGGATGCGTCAATTTTATAGTATCTCTTTTCTACTACCACTTAAACATTAAAGTATTCTGCAGCTGATGAGAACCTGTGAAATAGAATGATATCATTGTATATCGCAAATTTCGCTTTCCTTTCTTTCTCGAAATATATCAAGGGAACCAAATTTGTTTTTTTTAAATTTTTTAATTTTTGATTACAGCTTGATGCCACACCGTATTTTCAATACAAGTATGGAATTTTCAGCATGGATATCGGTAGCCCAAATTTTGCAGGCCGACCATAGATATCAGGTGTGCGTCGGCAGGGGATCGAATCGCGGACCATGTGCATGGTCGGCAGTTGGTTTGGGCAGCCACATATAACGCAGTTATGCAGGATACGGTAAGTAGGTGATCTGAAAATCGAATCAAGACCTCCTGACTATACGCTGAGTGTTCAAGTCAAGAAGCACATCTCTACCCTGACTAACGTAGTCAGTTGTCTTTATCATAGGTAGGATAGTTGTTTTTTACTCCTTTAAGTTCCCAGTGGAACACAGGGCTTCAAGCTACAGGCCTAAAGTTTTTGAAGCAGTGCTGTTTACTTTTACTGGATGGGATGGCTAGCCTCATGCACAACCTTTCCTCTTTACCAGTTTCATTACTGGCTTAGCGAGGTAAAGGAGTGCGTCGGTGGCCGGGAATCGAACCCCGGATCACATGCGTGGTTGGCGAGCATCCTACCGCTGTACCATCGACGCACAGGCAGGATAGTAGCTGGAATCAAATTATTCGTAAATTTGAGAACTTCTGTTGAAAAAAGTCTGCGTATGTTTAAGATCAAATTTTACATTGAATGATGTATTATAAGTTACATTCGTGATTTGAAGAATCCCTCTGGAAAAATTCCTCTGTCATACTTATTTTTTGGACTGACTCTTCACAGATATGTATTTATGACCCCTAAGGACCTTCGGATTATTAGTTCAAGCTATTGAAAATTCAGCGTATGAGAGGGAATCGAATTCCAACTTCTGAAAATATGCGATTTTTTTGGCTCACCACAAAAAAGATGTCATCGGGGAGCATATGTCTTTACCATCGACTTAGCTGACCTCACTGTGCAGAAATCAGAATTCACGAACCCCTGGATCCCCTCCCATTGGCTTAATGCTCAACCTGAAAGCCATGGGTTTGATCTCCGATAGTGGGGTCATGCGTGTGTACTGTTGAAGTGCCTCAAAAAAAAGTGGATAAAACAGCTAATCAATGCTGCCTGATTTTCGCTGGTTCTGTAACTGATGAGTCAGTTTGTTATCTAACTCGATTTATCACTTTATTCAAATATTCATATTGACCTATTAGTAAATTATGCGTTGTAATGAAATCGCTATATATACTAGAGTAGAAGTGTTGATAAAGATCTAATTGATAGGTGAATAGTTTTTTCGTTTAATTTACTGTATTTTAGCCAGGATTCTTAAAGATTTAGCGAAGTTATAAGAGATATAAGAGCAAAAGGCTGAAGTACTACAGAGTCTTGAGTCTTTGGAGTTATTATTGATAATGTAAACACTGCCTAATCGCTATTCTTTTGTCACAGAAAATCAGCCTTTTAAACAAATACCGTGGGGTTTGTTTACTCTGTCTTATAATATAACCAACTTCGTCCTTCATTCAGTATCTATACTGGTTCGGTGTCAATAAATCAGTCAGAGAATCATTACAAACCAAGGTAAACTGTACAGCTTTCTCCCCCCCCCCAGTTTGGTACTTTTCAACAGTTCACATTAACGACTCCTTCAAGACTTGAACCCAAGAATATTTCAACCACCTCCAGCCTTTACAAAAACCCAAAATCTGGATGTTAACCATTATTGGTTGCAGGATGGATGCTGTGAGATCCTAATGAGACGTTGTGACTGATAGATGATGATGCTCATCTATTAGAGATTGACTAACAGTGTTGCCATGACACTTACTGAATTCCAACGCTTTGGCCCTAACCTAAAGGTCTTGGGTGAGCACCACTGAAGAAGCCCGATTTGGGAGGAAGCAGCCTTCCAGTGCACACTGATTTTCAATGATTTATTGGATCATGATCACACCTAAACTGAAGCTGATCGAAGTTTATACAAAAACATAAAGTATGAATAGCACTGAAAATAGGTTCACATATCAAAAACACAAAAAAATAAATTGAATCGATCATTTCTTACTCTTTATGATGATCTTTATGATCTTTTTTACTGGAAAACAAATTTGAACAAAAAAAGTTGATGTGAAATGAATACTACTCAGCAAAAGAAGATAAAAAGATCTGATTTGTGTTTAACCCTGATATCAAGTCACTGAATACTTCTAATATGACTCGGAGGATTGACGCAAACACCACCGGAAAGCATTTCCAATCGGCTACTACACACTTTCATCATATCTGCTCGCTTTAACTGTGTCAATAATGAAGATCAGACAGCTGGCCGACCAGGAGGAGTAAGTAGGCATAAAAAAACTCTGTAGGGCCGGCAATCAGTCAAAAACCTAACGCTCAACAAATACGCATAAGAAAATGTAGATGGATAGATTGGACATACAATGATGGGAAATTCAAATCGTATTGGATGCCTGGCACGACTGTAATTGCAGTATGCAGTTGAAGGCGAAGTTTTACCGTATCTTTGTTCGGTCAACTCAGAATATTAGCATCACAATATCTCACCGTCCCAGAAGCTAAATGGTCAACGAACTAGTCTCATAACGAGACGTTGCTAGCTTCGGTCAGCCGGTAGCAAGGTTATGGGTGGATAGGTGCTACTGAATAGTTAGTCTCAAACTAGAAGGTTGGCTAAATGAAGTCAATTCTTTATCTAACGTCATTTCAAACAAATTCCCACAAAAGCAGACGCCTGAAATCTTATGGATTAAAATCTAACTTTGTTAAAAATTCTTAGTTCCTCTGTATAACACACATGACTAAAGAAATTAAAACCGTTGACAGTGAACACTGATTAGTTTTATTTTATGCGAAATCTTACTGTTCTTTAGAGCCACTGGAACTGAAAAGAATAAAATACATAGGCAACACTGTTTAGCAACACGATGGTATAAAAATTGTACAACACAATAAATAACACAACTGAACAAGGAAGCTTAAGTGCACTCAGAGTCTTTTAACATTTAACAACCTAATTTCACTGAAGTCGACAACAACTGTCTGCATACTCTTTCTGGCTAAACCTCAAAAATAGCTGTAATTAAACTAGATAGACTTTTGATTGTTTCACAGAAGTGGATTTGAGATGATAAGCATTGGCTAAAACGTATGAATGGTAGCCAATGGCTTCTTGGAGTACATCGTGCTCCATGTCTACTTCAACAAAAGCGACTAGGCAGTATCAGTAGACCTCACATAGCAAGTTTGATTGACCAGTAGGGTGCAGCAGGTAGGGTGTGAGGACAAATACTCGCCGAAGACATTGGCTAGTGGTCGCGCTATGTCGTCATGGGCTGGCCATTGAATCGGGTCCCAGTGGCTTAGTGGTCTACGAGCTCGCTAGTCTTGTAACCAGAAGGTCCTGGGTTCGAACCCCGAAGGGTGAGTACTGATGAAGAGTCCCAAACTAGGCTGACGAAACAGCTGTCCAGTACTCCGTGCAGGCTTTCCAATGGTTCTCTAACCAATGTCAGCTCATGATGAAATCCTGTAACCAATCAAATCCCTACAAACCAACACTTGAAGAAAGACACAAGTAAAAAATTTGTTCTGAGTAACCCAGTTCTATCTACCTAATTATTTGACTAATGAATACATGAAATCCAAGCCTCACATCTCTCAGACTTTGAACAAGTCGCTTAAAGGTACATGCATCCCTGGTGAATGATAGTGTTGCCACTAGGCCCCGAACCCAACACCTTTATCACGCATCAGCAGGTGGAAGAATTCATGAGCCAGCAGATACAAACAGATTTGCTGAATAGTCAATGCGCTGGCCTCCTGTGGTCATGGATACTTGCTGCTGAAGACAATCACGAGATGGATGTCATTTCGTAATCTACCTTGAAACAACAAATAAAAAAACCCTACAAACCAGTCAACACTTGAAAATCAAACTAAAATGTCAGATGCATTCTACTGCTCACTGTTTTTTGTCGTCTCCACCCCTGAAAAGAAGGTAAACAGTGTTATGTTTTACATACTTCAGAATAAAAAGTTGTTAGAGAATTCCAAAAAAGGGTGCCAAACATTATGAAATAAAACTTACATTTTGTATTTTTATCTAAATTTCAGTATTACAGAAAAAAAAACACGGACTTGTAAATCATTATCTGAGCACTTCAGTATTATTATAAGAACAACATAAATATGTAAAAGCACAATTGTTTGTGTATTAGTGATGACTGGATTTCAACAAGAAACTTGGTGTTGGACCAGTATGTAGCGTCATGGATAAGAGAACACATTCCAATTTATGGATTTACAGAGAAGAAGGTGTCTTCTGCAACACTTGAACGACTTCCATCCCATAATTGCAAGATCAAGATCATCTACCGAATTCATGTCAGTCTGTTTTCATTTTCTTCCTTTCAAAGAGAGCTGAGGAACTGACTATTCATGCACTTAGGTCAGACTTTTGAGTACGAAAGAAGTATGTGCCATCCTTATTTCTACCTTGGCCTTGGTGTAGAAAAGAGGGATAAAAAATTATCACTGTGTCTATTTTATCTGAGTACTATTCCTATATTATTAATGATATCATTATTAAAATGTTGGTTAGCAGGGATTTGATATGACTGGTTACAGGGCTTCATCATTTAGAGAACCATTGAAAAACCTGCAAGGAGTACTGGACAGGTGTTTCCGCTGTCCTAGTTTGGGGCTCTTCATGAGTGTGCACCCGCCGGAAGGGTTCGAACCAAGAACATTCTGGTTATAAGGCGCGCTAGCTCGTAGACTATTAAGCCACTGGAACTCGACCCAATTGCCCACAGATTTCAACTCCTACCATTTCACGATACAGGTTTGCCAATGGTTCTCTAACTGATGTCAGCTCATGATGAAATCCTGTAGCTGACATTGGTATTATTCTCACTTTGATCAATTACCGGTATTATTTTGCCTGTACCCCTCCTTAGATCAGCTTAACATTCTGTTTCACAACGTTAAACTCTATCTTGTCAAGCTTCTCACAATGCTAGGTAGTGCTTCTCTAACTTAATAATCTTAGTAATCCTATTAACTTTAAACGTCTTTCCAAGATCTATACCTTCTGTCAACCATTCCGAACATCTCATAACCTTTTTTATCATTTACATGAAGCCATCATTATAATCGAAAAATGTTTGTCACACTTCACACCCATTGTCTAAATGTCCCAACGCGTCACCAAAAATTAACCAGAATAAAGCTGGTCTATTTCTAAGTCTATTAGTTGAAATCCATGATCCAAGCATCCAATGTAGTCACTGACTGAGTTAATTGGTAACATACTCCTGTTGTCACCCATAGTTTACTATAATTTTGTTGTTGTTGTTGATTATAGCTTGATTCTACACCGCGGTTTTGGTACAAGTATGGAATTTTCAGCATGTGATATCGGCAGGCCAAATTTATCAGGCCAACCAATTAATATCAGGTGTGCGTCAGCAAGGGATCGAACCTCGGACCATTTTTATGGTCGGCGAGCGTCCTAACTGCTGTGCCACCAACGCATAGCGTATTGTTTCCATGGCGATTTGAACTTACTATGATAACTATGGAACCCAGTGAAGTTGACTTGAAATACGATATGTGGCTAGAGTGAGAGGGGGTTTGAAACTACTCAGTGATAACTGATGACTGTCAGCAAGTCCACTAAAAAAAATTCCGTTAGTTGACTTTCGCTACCATTTATCAAGTGAAATTTCGATAACGCCTTTGCTAAAAAGCTGTTGGTATGGTCTGAATTAAAATCGCGTAGTCTAAATAAATATCTGAGGAGAAAACGTGTTTCAACGAATTACATGCTCAGAGAAGAATTAATTACTATGGACCAAAAAGCAAAGTGTTTCATGGTGTTCGGCATTGAGATTTATGATTTCAAAGTAGCCACAATGTAATTAAGACATATGCACAAGGGTGGCTGAAATGCTTAACACTACTAGTTGTCCTCAAAACAGATGTGGAATTTCCGCAGATCTGTTTAACATTTAAGTTACTTACTGTTGTTATTGTGAGTGCTCGCTCAAATAACTTCTAAATTTTGTTCATACACTTCTGTTATTCTTATCCTTTCATTCTACTAGTAAGAATATTTTCCCATATCTCTGGTACTGATGTCGTGTCATTCTTACTGCAAGTGTTTTAGTAAGTAAATTCAATGAACAAAGATTCAGCGATCAGCCTATTCCTCCTAGCTTACTATATTCTTATTTAAATCTGTGTAGCTCTGTCCTCACCCTATTACGTAATTGCAGACTAGTGCCTATACTGACACTACGGAGATTTTTTTACAAAGCTGTTCATCTCCCTCGGATCAATCATTCTACAGTTAGCTAAATTTCATTTAAAATCACTGGAAACCCAACTGACCATGGACTAATGAGATTGACCAATACATGCACACACAAGTCAGTTATTCTATGCTGGAATTATACTCCACTACAATGAGCGAATTCTGTTCTTATATCAGAGGAAGTCGATTAAATATTTTAAATCTATACATCTGTTTGGGATTTAATATTAATAAAACAGTAGCAATAACTACATAAGTTATATATGCCCAAACCAAGTTCACTTTTAACAGTTTGAAAAAATTTGGGCATTTGGTATATGATATTCATTATATTAAAGGTTTTCTTGTATTTCCCAATGAATGAAAAACTAAACGATATTGTTGTTTTTACTGACGTTTCGCTATTTAATGCTAATATCAGAAGAAATAAACACCGTAGAGCATCTGTTCGACCACCGAGAAATCCAACTGAATTGAAAAAAACTTGAAAAATCATCAGCCATAGCTCGTCTACACGCTATAGAATCAGGTCACAAAATTGATTTTGACAATATTGAAATAATCCTGAAAAAGCATTTCAGAAATCACAAAGAACGTCTAATATCATCAGAAGCACTTCATATCAAGTGGAATCCAAATTGTCTGAATAGGAATGATGGACTAAAACAGAATCTGACCTGGTTACAACACCTCCCTCCCCCCCCATGAAGTGACAAAATCAACACGAATGTGATAAGCAAATTCACTATGCAAACACACACTGCCTTTATAGTTTTAAACACTGATCAAATCCAACAATCTACACTTGGTTTTGTTATCTTTGCCAATTGACCAATTTGACAGCGAAAGATGACCCATACTGACGAACGATGATCAAGTTAATAAACCTCGTTTTGATACCATAACAGATGTACTATTACCTTTGTTATTTGGTTTAGTGATCTTTATTGGTATTTTAACTTTCAATATATATCCTTTTAACTTGACCTAAGTAGTCTATTTTTTCACCCCATAACTCTTTGTTATATATATATGCTGAGTGGATATTGTAAATTCCGGTTTAATAATACATTGATAAAGCTATTAGCATTAAATAGCGAAACGTCAGTAAAAACAATATCGTTTTGTTTTTCATTCATTGGGAAATACAAAAACCTTTAATATAATGAATAACTACATAATCTCAGATACGTCACAGTTGGAGTGACAAAAAGACTGTAAAAGATCTCGGCTTTGTGGATGATTTATGTCGAAAGTCGCATGAATCCAGGCGAAAACCAGTAACTCTGCGGAATAGGGTAATGAAGACAAAATTTCAAGTGAAGTGATAAAGATAACCAACCAACAACGACAAGAATCAATCACTGTCAACAATAGAAACTTAAAGGAATTCATCTTTTTCACTCGTCTAGACAGTACCATTTCAATTTGAGGCGGCAAAGATGAGGTTGTCCAAAGCAGGACAGGTTTGCAAAAACAAGACAGACGTTCACATAAATCTGAAATTAGGTGTGGAAATCTAGTTCACTCAGCATGATGAACAAGATCACATAAATCCATGTTAATGTCAAGTCAGTCAGTGTTTTCACATGGTTCAGAAACCAGGCACGATACTGAACCCATTCGAGACAGGCAAATGCACAATTTCATCAACAGCTGCCTTCGCTCTATACGGACGACTGGCAAGGATAAGTAACTAGGCAACCAAAAACCTGTCACCTAACAAACAATGCAGAAAGAAATATAAATGGACTGAACCTACACTGAGTGACATCACTCGCCTGGCAGGCCCTTGAGTGGAAGGCGAATGGAAAAAATTGAGTTGGAAATGGGTGTGATAGTGACATAGAATGAGATCATCTGACGATAAGCAAATGAAAGCTTATGGGGAATTGTACAACCAGATAAAAGAGAATTCAGGGAACATAATAAAATAACTCAGAAACCAAAATATGAATAATAATAACAACAATAAAAACAGACAAAAATAAATGATGTCTTACCGTTACTGTTGAATTCAAGCGCGTTCTAACAGCACCAACACCACTAGTATAAGTAGGAGTTTACGCTAAATAATAATGATAGTAACAGTAGGGTCTGATGCCTTTTATACTTTTCGTGCTGCTTACCCTTGAGCAGTAAAAAGCGAGAGATCATGTTATTTGTTGTTGCGTTTGTTGTTCTCTTCGTCAACAACATTGTCCTTACATGAAAAATAAAAAAAATAAAAAAATAAATATTTACTAATTCCATTTCTTGTTATGATAACCTTAAGCGCATAAAGTACATGAACAAAAGCATATCTGTCACCATAGCAACTAGAAAATAGAGTACACGTTCTAACATGATCAGTAATAGAAAAACGTACCAGATACGCGCACACACACACATACCCATCTACTTGGTCAACTTAAGACCTTAAAATGTACTTTAAATAAATATCTTTCTTTCTTTCTTATTAATTAGTAAATTTCTCTTTTTTTGTTCTTATCTTGTTCTTGTTCTGCTTAAATTCATGTTTTGCCGGTCAAATCTCAGTGAACTTAATTGTCTTCGCTGTAATCGTCTTCTCCTTCCTCTGTGTTCATTCATGTTCATCTAATCTAAATTTAAAATTTCAGATTAGTATTGATCAGCAAGTCGACAACTCTTTAAAACTATGGAACATTGAACACTTGGTTAGTCCTTAGTTTGAGAATGACTCTACAGCATCACGCAGTCATGACTTTCACTCCATCAGAAGAGGTTGAATTCACTGCCTTTAGTTTATTCAGGTATGATTCACTTCGGACTTATATGAGACGGCAGGACAATGATAAGTGTGTTAGATTAACGGGGACTTCTTATTTTGTTAACCTCGCCTAGATTACTCTGGGCTCTCTAGTTTTCTATCCGGTCCCAAGCCCGGATAAACAGGGAGGGTTGGGGCGCGGTGCTAGCAACTCCATCCCCAAAACTTAACCGACTTGCTACAGAAACTTCAATGCATAAACATATTAAAAGTACTAAAAATATAAACAATAAACTTATTTATCACTGGAAGACTTACAAGCGAAAACCGACAAACTGGTAGAAGTAGCAGCAAAGACAGGACTGACTCCAGGTGAACATAGACAAGACGGAGGTTATGAAAATAACCAACCAATAACAACAACAGCAGCAACATCCAGCACCAATCACCATGAATGGGAGGGATTTGAAAGAGGTTACTTCATTCACTTATCTAGGGAGCATTGTCTCAACTACAGGAGGAACGCAGGGACGAGGATGTCAAATCGAGAATCGGGAAGGCAAGAAACACATTCATCAACCTGAAACCAATCTAGAAATCTTCGTCACTCAGCCTGCATCAACAACAAAATTCGGATTTTCAATGCAAATGTCAAGTCAGTCAGTTCTTCTATACGGATGGATCAGAAACTCGGCCAGTGGGTCACAAAGAATATTTCCAACAGCCTGTTGCAGACCTTTATCAACAACAACTGTCTTCGCTGTATACTGAAGATCAGATGGCCGGAAAGAACAAGAACCAACAAGAAACTATGGGAACAAACAAAACAAGAACCGATCGCCAAACCAACCAAATATGCAGGAGAAAGTGGAGATGGATGGATTGGACACTCGCTGAGGAGGCCGCTGGGTGACATCGCGCGTCAGGCCATCACTCGAGTGGAACCCGAAAGGGAAGCGGCGAGTGGGACGTCCAATTGTTGGTGACATGGAGGAGATCGTGTGAAAAAGAGTTGAAACAGTATGGACTAACATGGATGCAGGTGAAAAGTACAGCAGAAGACAGAAGCAAGTGGAGACGTGTACTTGAAGCCCTGTGTTCCACTAGGAACCCAAGGGAACAATGATGAAAATAATAATAATAATAATAAATCTTATGTTGTTGCTAACGGTACATTGGTAGAATGCTTGCTAGACGCCATACAAGGGTTGTTTGGGTTCAGTTCTTGGCCGATGTGCACTAATAAACCTTAGCCAGCTCCCTACCTGGTTATATGCTTGAGAAAGAAGGATGGCTGGAGTTGAAACTAGCACTGTAATGCTGTAACAAAAACCACCCACACTACTGAAACTTTAGAATTGAAAGAATGAAGCTGCGTGAACGTAAATGAATGAAACAAAATTGTCTTGTCAAATTAATAAATCATTTCATGAGAAGTTTTTCAAACTTTCTCTTTTTTCGCTAGAATTCTGTTCCTCAATGTTCTTAAAGTCATTAACATATATTGAGAAGAATTTGCTCACTTACGATTAGCAGCTAAAATTGTTTAACACAGACATTGAAATGTGTTTGTTATAACCAAGTATGTTTCACATCCAGACAATATTATATAATATAGTAATATCATGTGCTGCTTGATTAATAGCGATTCCATTGGTTTGTCACAAAACGAACCACTGAAAGAGAGCAGAGAGAAGTGTACGGCTGTTTCACTCAGGTTTAGGACTATTTGTATGCAGGCATCCTTGGACTTCATCCAGTGGATAGAAATCACCACGTTCAGGTGACAAAGAAAGCACGGTATCATCGACTCAGTGAGACTGAGTCCCATTGAATCCGACAAATAGAGCATCAAGACATACACATGCCCCAAACCTTTGCTGGTGATATAGCCCAAAATCTTTATTAGGCAGCAGTTGATATGCATAGGCCATTCGGAGCATTTTGATATGGTTGTGTTCTCTGAACTGAATAGTTTATTTGAGAGGCTTTCGTTGTCCTACTAGGCAACATCTTCAGCGTATACTTCAATTTGAAGTAAGATTTTCGATTGCTCCACGAGTTTACTAGTCATCTCTCCCGGTGACCTTGAACTTGATTAGTTGTTTTCGTGTGTTTTCACATCCTCTAGGCTACTTGTATTGGAATTGATTGTTTCCTTGACTTGAACTTTAACCCTTTTGTGCATGAGATTTCCTTCTTATCGGTTGGTAAATTTTGTCTATCTCGATGTGTTGATTGATTGAAGATTCACTGGAATACTAGGCAGGCTTCTAAAAATTCTCTAGCATTCTTGGTGTCTCCTATGTCTAATAGTTGAACGCTGGTTGACCCAGTTGAATTGATGTCCGTGGTTGTATGTATTCAGTGAGGCGACATGAGGGAGTGGATGTTTTGTCTTTTGACGGCTAGCTTATATTCATGGACACGAAGACGAAGGGGACGTTGACTTTAGCCAGCACAGTGTTTTTCGCAATCGTTGCAACTTATTTTGTAGATGATGTTGGTTTCATCCTCTTTTGTTGTTGAGTATTTTGGTTGACATAGAGCTGAGTGCAGTGAGTGCCTTCGTCATCGAATCCTGCCGACTGGTATCAGATTCAAACCACCAGTCAACTGCTCAGTGGGACGGAAATTGGCCGAACAATATAGGAGACGAATGGTCAAATTAATGATTACAGACGCATATTGTTGGATCAACAAATATCAACAGCGTTCAACTATTAGAGAGAGGCAACACCAAGAATGCTAGAGAGTTTCTAGAAGCCTGCCTGGTATTCCAGTGAATCGTCAATCTACAGACACATCGAGATAGACAAAATTTACCAGCCGATAAGAAGGAAATCTCACGCACAAAAGGTCGTGGTTCAAATCAAGGAAACAATCAGTTCCAATACAAGTGGCCTAGAAGATGTGAAAACACACAAAAGCAACTAATCACGTTCAAGGTGACCCACCAGTAGAGATAACTAATAAACTCGTGGAGAAATATAAAAGTTCACTTCAAATTGAAGTATGCGTTGAAGATGTTGCCGAGTAGGACAACGAAAGCTTCGCCAATAAACTATTCAGCTCAGAGAACACAACCATATCAAAGTCATCCACCTCAGCTACGAATCTTCTACATCATATCCATAGGCCGGATTTTTAATTATCTTCCGTTGTAATATGACAATCCTGGCTTCAATTTCCGGTAGTATGTTCATGGATGGGTACCAGTGATAAATTCCTAAACCAAAAGGATAAAACTACTAAGTGCTGACTGGTTTTTCAGTGGTTTCCTAGCTGATATATCAGTTCTCTATTTAACCTGAATGTAATCAAATCTCTACAAATTTAAACTCGAGGAATAGAAATTTGATAGTAAGAAAGTATTATTTAAATCATTTGATAAAGGGAAGGATGAAAACCCATCTAAATGAATAAATTAGTGTTATGAATCACAACATTAATGTTTAAATAACATCGAATCAACAATATCAACAGATTAAAGTTCAATAGCATCAACATAAAATAAGCTGAATGTCAGAGATTTACTGATTTATTCTCAATACTTCACCACAAGCCTTGGTGTCACTTGCAGCTAAACTAAATATTTTGCATTTTCAGTGGAATTTCACTTGAATCGATGTAATTTGCAATCTATGCATTATCCTTTCATTCAAATAGGTGGCCAGAATTCCAACAGTTTGAAGTGATTCAGCCCTCTGAAGTGAATTAATCCTGCTACACTTCTGCTGATGCCTTTATCTTAAGGTCTCATGAGAAGGTTTTATAGTGTTTAGGTCATTTGATTAATGTGTTGCCAGTACAACTGGTGGTGATCAGTAGTGGTGGCTTGCAACTACTCATATCTACTCATCAGTAGTATATATACATCATCATGCAAAAACCGTAGTGATATGAAAAGTAAGATAAAGTGAAAAAAATCTTCATCAGATTTCTCTACCCACTAAAGATGTATTGCTGTATGAAAACGAAACACATTTATCACGTCAATATAACAATTCTGACAAAGACTGGTAACAGAGAAACGCATTTCTTCACTGCACATCATATTTAGTGTTTTAGTGTTTTAGAATGAAATCTCAACACAAACACTGTGCTTGAGACAGATATAAACGGATTTGTTTGTATAAATGTCGTAAAAGCTGACTGCATAACTAACTCACCTACTGACAGCTTTATTCCTGAATTCAAGATAATCATCATTTATTATGTGTAACCACCCAAAATGTCACATTTGATGTGAGACTAATTCTAAGTACAATGAATTTATCACTATGTAACGTCTTTT